AGATTGAATTAATTGATTGATGATAACGGTATCCAAATTCAAAGTGGAACATTGAATAATTTTAGACGAGGATCAAACATTTAAAGAGTATTGAGTGCTTATACAATGAACTCACACAACACGATTTAATTAATACTTAAAATAATATATAGATTTAAAAAAGGATATCTGTGTCGAAATTGAATGTTATGTGACCCAAGTCATTAGTCCTATTGGACACACCATAAGCTGTTAAGTTTTTCCTAAAAACTAGCATACGTTAACGCTACCGTCGCACAAAAAAGCACTGAAGCATCGCTTCATCCGCCAGAGACAAGGTCATTCATTGGCTACAGCCTATTTGCGCCCCAGAATGGTACATTTGCGCACCGAGGGATATGGACAGATGCGACCGAAGGATAAGGTAGTAGGTACTATACCTGTCGATATATAACCCATATGCGCCCATATCGTATGCAACGTTGCTGCTGTGATTCATATTATTATATAGATTACATTTATCTTGATAAATACTTAAATTAAGTAGATTATGTTATAATTCAGAGGTATTCAAACTGTGCGTCGCGGCTCCCAGGGGCGTCGCCAGAGTTTGCAAAGGGAGCCGCGTCAAAGCACTGAAAACCATACATCATATACCTAGGTCCTGTATATAATTATTATAAATATTATCTGCAATCATTATTGAAATGAAAACGACACATCTTACGATTCGAACATTTGAAGTTTTATTTCTAGTACTAAAGTCACTGTTATTATCACCTATATAACATATCTCCCAAATTGTATCCGTTGTGTTGTTTCAATTTTTTCATAATAATTTGGGAGCCGTAAACATATTGTGAACACCCAAAGGAGCCGCGTGCTGAAAAAGTTTGAATACCTCTGTTATAATCTATTATTTAGACAATTATTAGTAATTTAGTAATTTAATAATTATAATTGTCTTTTATAATATAATTTAAATTTTTAAATTTTTTCAAAATTTTGGGTTTAAAAAAATTAATCAATATAACAATAACTAACATTAAATTAAGGAATTTTAAGTTAAACAACCCTTAATATTAATTCACACTAAGTTTGATTTACTGTAGTCATAATTTATCTCACATAAAATACAATATATGGTTAGTTACCTACCTACATACAATTATTATAAAAATTAATACTGTTGATTTTTTTCACACGCATAATACAGGGTGATTCTTTTATCAAACAACACTCATTATAAACTTTTGATTTTTAAATGACTGCAACCTATACTTAAAATTTCATAAACTAAAAAGGCTATATTTTCAATGAATTTTCACGTTTAAATTTTAATTTTTCGTTAATCCGTTTACAAGATATAGCCTCCCAAAGTTGGGTGGTTTTGGGTGGTGTTTGTGTATTATAGGTGTATGTTAGGTGGTATTTACACACAAACACCATATAAGTGTTGTTTGATAAAATAATCACTCTGTATAATAAAAAAAAAAGGTTGCACAAGGCGCACAACGCATACACAAAGAGGGAAGTGAGAGTCGTCATGACTTCTAATTAAGATAAAATGGACCGATATTCGATAATACCGATAAGAGTGTAACGTAAAAATTAAAAATAGTTAAAACGGTAAAAATAATATGTACAATAGTTTTAACTTTATAAGGTAATAAATAATATTGCTTGTATTCCAAAATACAGTTTGGCAACGTCGCATGGGTTTAACAAATTTTTATTAAAAATATTTCGGGCGCAAGTGGGTTATAAAAAAGGTGCGATGCGCGATGGGCGTAAATGGTTTGCACCACATTCATCAATATACTTACACTTCGACTTTGAGTGTCTTCATCTCGGTACCAGTCCGGTAATCGACCAATATAGTGGAAAGAAAACATGCAAACATTTGAATGGCGAGCACAACCAGCGTGTACGCCAGCACCAAGTAGCCCCGGTACACTGAAAAATACATGGGTAGGCGATTTGGTTAGACAAACAATTTTCCAATGGTCTAAAAAACGATTTGTTGGTGGATGAACCAAAAGCGTCCTGAGCACTCGGTTTTAGGCGAATAATAACGAGAAAAAACTAAACAGCTAATACGTATACGCTTGGTTTTATTTTGGTGATAACAGAAAATCGTGACGTTGAGCATATTCTAACCTGCAGGTACTAACGGAAAACAAAATTCATGACGTGTTTGCGGGAAAACAATCGCCGAGGCTCGTCATCACATTTAAAACATTTTGTCTGTTTGATGTAAAGGCAGTGTGTGCATTCCAATTTCCAACCTTTTTTGTTTTTGTAAAACGTCTACTTTGGGCTGCATACGAATTGCATCCCAAAATACGAAAATATACATCGCGATATCCGAGTTGCGTCCGTGGTTTTTGCACAACACATCCGAGTTGTGTCCGCAATTTTTTCGCGACAAGTACGAGTTGCGTCCTGGTTAATAGTATACATACCTATACTCCATGTACATATTTTCTTTCCCCCTTTTACAGACTGAGGACTGCCATTTGTATAAATGGTGTGGTTTAATGTGTATTGTAATTAATGATTATATATATTAAATTATTTATTGTTCTAAAATGAAATGTAAATTTTATGAAATGCTGTAGTTAAAAGCTGTAATTGTGTATTATTTTATAAAATGGGTAAATTTTTGTATGCCGATTTTTGAACGAACTAAAACGTGTTAAATTTGTGTTGATTTGTCGAACATGGAATGTCGAAGTGTGACTGATGCTAACATAAACAGAATTAATTTCCAACAATAAAGTGTAAGGGTGTATTTATAATTTCCCGGACAGATAATAAGGTTTCGATAATAATTGAGATATTTATACCATCTATGAGTTTATCACCTAACATTATTCTCAGTCGCTGAAAAACTTGTGGACGCAACTCGTATATGTATCGTGACAAAATCGCGGACGCAACTCGGACAAAATATCATTTAGGGACGCAATTCGACGCCGCTTCTTATTGGCATGCCATAAAAAAGAAAAATGTACATTTAATTTGACATTTCATAGTCATTATTTTGTATTTTTTGGTCCTATACTAATAATTAAATAATATATTATATTATAAGAATACCTACTAATAAAAAATCGTGAACGATATTATTACTGTTATTTTGTCAAGTGGGCGGCGGCCTAAGAGTTTGATCTACATCAAATCTAATGTTCGTGAACATCATCATGAGTAAATTTATATTATATAAATATCTGGTATACTATAATTAAATTTACTAAGCATTTCTAATATAACAAAAAATTAATAATATTATACATTTATACCTTTTATAGTAGACTGTAGGTTTATCAAATGTTCCCCGGGGGGACAACGCCAGATCAAACCTAGACGAAGTAAGATACGTTGTAGGTACCTACTATTGGCTATTATATATATATACAGGGTGTCCCGTGAGGATTTACCCATTGCGATATCTCCCGAAATAATGCTGATATCGAAATTTTGGTTTTAGAGATAAGAACTACAATTATTTCATATTTTAATTTATTTTAATGTTTTGGTAAAAAAGTTAAAAAATATATTTTATTATTTTTCTATTTCAAAAAAAATTAAAGATAACCATTTTGTTGAGTTTATTTTTCTGAAAATATTGACGTTTCAACATTTTATTTTTATTAATTTCCTGATTTTTAATATTTTTTTCAATTTCGAGAAAAATTGCGAATTATTTTAACACCGTAATGTTATCAAACATGATATGACCCGCCGCGCCGCGCGCATTCCCATACGGCCAGCCGAATACTTTCCGTGTTCTTAATAGTTATTAATTAACTATAATCATATTTTATTTCTTAAAAACTAGAAAAATTTAAAAGTCAGGAAATTAATGAAAATAAAATGTTGAAACGTCAATATTTTCAGAAAAATAAACTCTACAAAATGGCCATCTTTAATTTTTTTGGAAATAATTAAATAAAAATATATATTTTTTAACTTTTTTACCTAAACATTAAAATTAATTTAATTTAATTTAAATTAATATTATATATAATATTATGTTATTTGTACATTATAACTTATTACAATTTACATTGGAGTTGTGGTCATAATATAAGTTACATAGTTATAAATTATTTATAAATATAATATAATACAAAACTTCGTCATCAACTCCTATACTATTTTACAACATTTTATGAGTTTATTCACTTAATCTACGGTTATTAAATTTAAAATATAGGTAATTTATACAATATTGACAATCATTTTGATAGAGCGAGGAATCTCTATTTTCTCCATACAATTGCAGCACGTTATTATACTGCAGCGATATTAACGGTGTACTCACATAAGTGGGTCAGCCCGTTAGGCATTGGTGTCCGGAGGGAGGGCAAGACGGGGCATTTTCCTCTTCCTAGAATTCAAAAAGAATGTTGAATTTTAACTTTTATTTTGATTTAAATAAATATTTCATCGATATTTTTACTTTAGTGTGTGGAGTTGTTGATCATAATAACAATACATTTTAACTTTTAAGGCGTACAAAATAACGATGTATTACATTAATCGCGCAAAATTAATTATGTTTAAATTTTGTGAATTAATATTAATCGCCTAAAGCCACTTAAGATGACCGATACACAAACAAGAGTACACTAAAAGCATAACTAATATTTATATTTTTTATAAAATTGAAAATCTGTTAGCTGAAAGTGAAATAGTTGGTATAGTTTATGGCATAAAAAAGAATGCCAAAGTATAGACATAATAGATTTACTATAACATAACAAAATATTTTTCCCTGATATTACAATTGCATTAGAAATTTTTCTATTTTTGCCAGCTACAAGTTGTACAGCCGAAAGGTCATTTAGCACTTTACGAAGAGTTAAAACTTGGCGCCGGTCTACGACGGGTGAAGACCGATTAAATCTAAATGACCTATGTATGTTAAGTGTCCATCGTGAGAGAATTAATTTAAGAAAAGAAAAATTCATTGAAAAGTTAATAACAAGGTTTACAATAGAACAAGAATAACGAAGACTTCAGTTTTTATTTAATAACGAATAAATAGTATATAATTCTAACTCATTTTTTAGTTTGCAAGGAATGTATTTTTTAATGTACTTTTCGGTGTTTGATTTCATATCTTTCATATCTTTTCATTTCTTACACATTTTGTAGTTTTCAAGGAATAAACTTTTTTTGATACATTTTATGGTCTTTGATTTCATTATGCCCTTCCCTGATAAATTTCCAGCGGGCGTCCATGCCGTTAGGGTTTGTGTGTTAACCCCTTCACATAGTTTTTTTTTACTTTACGTATAGAAATATAAAAATGAATACAATATATAAAATTTTTTGATATGTATACTTTTTCGATGCAACCCCTTGTCATTTGAAATATATGTGTGCATCACTAACAGAAATACAAAGTAATATTAGTAAGTAATTGGTTGGTACTTATAATACCCAGTTGGCCAGTTACTAATAAATTACAGGATTCGTAGGCTAATTATGCATTTAAATACAAATATCTAACACTGAACGAATATCGAAATATCGAACGATGTCAATTTGCAAAATACATCTAAGTATAAAAATAATAAAAATTGGATAAATGGAAAATATTAATTTGTTTTATAGTTTATGAATTCAGTCATCAGTATAATATTTCACTTTAGTGAAAAAACACAGAAGTATAAAACTTACGTTTTCTAAAACATCATTTAAGTAGAGACTCAAATTCTGGATTAGGGCGTCTCTTGAATTCAGGTTTAGTAACCATATAAACCACTAATGTACAATAAAATACACAAAGAACACCTAAAATGTTTGCAAGCTGACCTTCTGCCGGGAGTTTTTTGTATTGATTTTCTCTGTAAAAAATAGTGAAATTATAGGAAAAAACATTTAACTACGTTAAAAATAAATAATACGTACAAGGAAAAAATAATTTTTTCACAGAATCCTAGTACCACAGTTGCAACTGCTAAAACGAAGTTAGAAATGCCAAAGAACACATGATAAGGTGCTAAAGTTTCTCTATGCCGTGCAGCTACTCCCGGATACAAAAAACAATAGAGTCCACTAAAAAGCTGTATAACATAAAATATTATAACATAACATTATAAAAATGCAATATTTTAAAACATTACTAATCAATAATTCAATTTATATATAAGATGTTCCTAAAATTGGAAACGTTTTAACTACTGTTTAATATTGTTATAACTACCTATAAAAAAGGTACCTATAAAAAAAATAGAAACACTGCTACAGATTTATTATGTAAAATATTTTATCATCTCGCTGATTTTATCATATAATATATTATCGTTTATCAGTTATAATTATAACCTAATTACAATTTATAATTTTTTTATACACCTTGTATGTATAGAAATATTGTAGGAGATAAAGAATTCAAAAGATACAGAATGCTTGCAAAATTTTGATTTGAATAACAATCAGTCTTGGTGTGTAAAAAATAATTTATCTTTAAAACTAAATAAATTAATAAAATATAAATATTTCGTTTCTATTGAATAATAATACTGTTCTAGTAAACTATTATTTAAGTGACCTAACAGTACAATATTACAACTTTAATTATTATAGTTAACGATCTTGATATTCATTTTGATCCAAAATTGTCTTTTAGTACCTAACTAACCATATTGACTTTATATTAAATAAAATTCAGAAATTCGGCATATTAAATGGACCTATAGGGAATTTCAGGACGAAAGTTCTTTAAAATTATTATACCTATTGCTCATTATTGGTTCGCTCATCACATTAGGAATATGGAACTCTCCGCAACTAGGGGGTGCTTACCTAACCGTTAATTTATCACCCCCAGATCAAAAATACAAAAAATGGAAAAATCATATAAAAAAAGTTTTCTTTGTTATAAGTAAGATAGTTTTTTTATTTGGCGTTTTTGGTGGAAACACGAATTATTTATGATGATTATAGTTATATAATATGGCTGTATCAAAAATTAGTTATGTAACATTGACATTTTTATCTGTTTATACTAGGTAATTATATGAATATATAGGTAATATACCTAATATATTTATGAGGTATATTACTGTTTAGATACTTAAATATTAGTGTGCTTATGTTTTTACAGGGCATTTAAGATTGGTTATAGTAATTATAAAATTGAAGAATGCTACTTAGGCGTAGCCTCCACGGACCTGTTTCATCTACATAATTTTAGCACCCCCAATGTTTGGCCTCCAGTTGCGGCTATGGAACTCTTAAGGTTATAATAATGTTACCTAGGTAGCTGTAACTCAAAATATCTTCTTTAAGATTCTTTTTATTTAAATGCCACGTCGAAAGAATTCCACATTCAGAGGATACTGCAGTCTGCAGATGTTGAAGGTTATTTTAATCTACCAATTCTAAAAGTACATTGTAGGTTTAAAACTTTAAAATTAATCAAAATAATTTAATCGTTTGTTCTGAATTACTGAGACGTATTAACTTTATACTTTTATGGGATCACACAATAAGTTATTATATTATTCTAACTATAAAACACTAAAATAATAATTACTTCTTGAATTCTCCATATTATGCAATGTCTTAAAAAGGCACTAATATATAGGGCCTAGATATAATACTATTAAAGATATAAATTATTTCAATTTATCTTTCAACGAATTTCCATAAAACTTATATATTTTAGTTAAAACTATTATTCATTTTATTTTATTTATTCATATACCTAATATAGAGTTTAATTGTATGTATAATTACTTATAAAATTAACTCAATACTTTTGTAATTGCTCATTACATTTTATATACTTATTAGTTGTTATATTAAATACTTAGGTATATTATACTTTTATTTCAAATTTATATTTTGTGTTTCATTTTTAACAAGCTGCATGCTCTTACTATCTCATTTATATTGTAATTAGTATTGAATTCCATGAATAAATATTATTATTATTATTATTATATCTATATATTAGGTAAACTTACCGGCTGCCTACGAGTTGATTCACAGGTACCTGTTTACGTGCACCGATACCGTTGAGTTGATTCCAGGGTCATTATATATTTTTTTCGATGTTTAATAAAATATTTAGCCTATTAGCATAACTCAAGAAACACCATCACAACTGGTTGGTTGACAAGTTTCTCTTCTTTTTTTTTTTTAGTTTTTTCATATTTTGAAAATCATTCAATTTTTATTTATAAATTTATTTTTTGTATTATATTATAATATTATATTTATTATTTATTAAAAAAATTATTAAAAACATTTAGTTATTAAAGAAAAAAATACAAAAAAATTTAGTAATTTAGTAAACAAATATAAAAAAATCTAGTAATTTGGTAAAGATGTTCATCACATGTTTTTATAAATTGGTATCTGCAGGTAATGATATTATACAACAATAGGGAATCAACTCATACCTACCCGGAAATCAACTAATGCATAAAATAGGTCTCGGGAATCAACTCATCTATCGCGAACTTACCTGGGCTAAAAACATTACAACAGTGATAACTCCTAACCAACTGTGTAAAGAATATAAATGAGGAATTGGAGGATCAGCATATTGGTGTGAAATAAAAACAGCAAATCCAGCAAATACAATAAGGATTAATATGCAACCATGAATAATAGCATGCTGGTTTTTTAATTTTCGTTTCGTATTATTCTGAAATGTACGATAATGAAGAATAGCTAAAAATAAAATAAATAAATAAATAAATACTGTAAATAACACATTCAAAATCATATTTAGATAAGAAAATTGAAGTATTTCAAATTAAAATGTAGATCATTTTCTACAGTAATTATATGTTTTGTTTATTCAACATTTGCGAACTTAATTTTATTCTATTAGGTATCATAATGCTATTTCAAAAATTAAATTAATCATTATTTTCCACCCTCCTCCATAATTTTTTTTTTATTTTGTCAGAGCTCCACAAATGTGAATTTTGAAACGTTTTGTTGCTAAAAATTAAAAATGAGTGAATATTTGTAACATCTCACAGGGCTGGTAATTAAATTAATTTAACAATMAAAATTTCGGAATATTCTTAGTATTTACTTGAAAAAATATAGCCCCGTCCATTGTCAAACCCTATAGGTACATGCCCTATATAGCTCGCGTACACTGTAATCCAGGGTTACATGTTATATAAGTTCCGAATGCACATTACACCTAACTTTTTACCTAATACCTATTATTAAATTTTTAAAAATTTTGAATTAATTTGGAACAAATATTTTAAACAGTTAATTTTTATAAATTTTATTAAATAATACATTTTCACTAAACTTACCATTTGCAAATAAATAAACGAATGCAATTGTCATCAATATTGAATGCCAATTGAATATTTTTTTAGGTTCAGTGAAACTAAATCCTCCCCGATATTGAACAATCCATTGGTATACATAAAATATTAGTGTTAATCCAATAATCTAAAATTAAAACTCATAAAAATTATTATATAATTAATAAAATACAACTGTTCAAATATATTACCTGAAACAGTATGTAGAACTTATTATACGAACTGGTCTGGACATTGGCACTAGACATATTATTATTACCGATTAATGGTATTCTTCTGTTTGATTCCCTACAAAATTATTCTACAAGCGCAGGTGTGATATTTTAACTAATATTAATAGTCGTTTAATTAGTTCATATTACTATAAATAATATTGTTTATTTTATTTTCAATATTATGTCATATAATATCTTGTAACAAACGCATTAAATGTACTAAAAATAGTAAAATGTATTTCAAATATATATTTTACTATTTAGTGAAAGATAACGAACACCGCGGAACACTAAATGTACGTGCGCGGTGGTACCCAAGTGTTTCGGGCGAGTGTTAAACATTGACTGCCAATACTATACTGGTAAATGCAGTGATATTCGATGTAATATATATATTATATACAACGTGTTTCTATTAATATGAGACAATCATTATTTAAACAAATTATAGAAATTCGTTTAACAGGAAACATACACAATTCGGAAATGTATTACATAATATTCAGGTATATAAAAAGTTATTTATAGTGTTTAGATAAAAGAATATAACATGTATATTTTGCCATTCTTAATATTAATATTAATATATATATTTTTTAATGAACCAATAATTTATAGTTAACATTTTATAACGAGTCATAAATATTTTATTTAACAATCCATCTTAATAAAATTTAGTATTTAACCTTATAGGTTAAACTTTTCTGATTTCCAATTCAAATGATAAGTTTTTTTTTCATTTGACCTATGCCTATGTTTTAATAAAATTATTAAGGAACATTATATTATCTATGTTAGTATAATGCTCATAATGCTCGGATAATATTATTTTTTTACCTTGATATAGATAAGTTGTTTGAACTCGAAAATGATCTAGATATTTACATAGATAATGAAAAATATTAATATAGGTATCTAGATAGAAATGAGATATAATTTTACATATTAATTAAAAAAAAAAAAAAACATAATTTAGTAATATATATTTTTCTTGCTTTATATCAAAATCAATGTTGACTTACCTACTGGTTTAGTGTAAATCACTGAAAATTATCAATAAATGTTAAATTATTTAAATAATCATGTAAATTTATCTATGTGACTATAACTTCGAGCTATTAGATGGCAGTTAGAATTGTGAAATAGGTACCATCTTCGTAATTTACTTAGATAAGAAAATAATATTATAGATAAATAAATTTAACGAAATTTTGTTATTGCACAACACTGAKTCAATGCATTGAATGTTGTTTATGTACCTATCAACTAAAAAAAAAGCGGGTAAGTCGTGGATGTTGCTCTGCTGTACAGTAGGTTACTGTAATGTATGGGATTAAATTTGAATGCAATGATAGGTATCATTGTATACGAAAAACGATTCTGAACGGAGATGATTTGTCAGTCTAGGATATATTATATTTAAATATTG